CCACCTACATCTACCCTCCTTCCCTACACGACGTTCTTCCGTTTTTGTTTACTTTTTTTTTTTTTTTTTTTAATATTCTGGGGGTTTGAACCGGCGACTTTCCGATCACAGGCTCACCTTCTCTAACCTCTGTGCCACCACTCCTCACAATTATTAATTATACTTTATTACATTATAATATAATTATATAATATTTTCTGAAAAATAAAGTTAAAAAATAAAAGTGTACCATTTGCAGAATAACTTACTTGTCCAGAATGACAGAGGTCCTGCAGAGTGGCTGGTGGAGGGAAACTCATCTGGTCTGATTCCACTTTGAGTCAGCACGTGCACTGTGTACATCTGACCAGCCTGTAAGGAACTTTGAAACACAAAGAAATACACAAAAAAAATTTAAATTCAGCCAGTATGTTTCTCTACTGCTGGTAAACAGTATATTAACCGTGATGAAATGGTGCCCCCTGCTGGTTACAAAGTATACTATGTCCCATCTGTTTCATGTCCAGCAGCGCCGCTCAGTGGGCACAAAGGGAGCAGCGTGTGCGTGGATTGTGGGGGTTAATGTGTGCAGCTTTTTGGAAACGTTAAGAAGCTGACCTGAAGGTGTACTCTGTGGTGCTTGTGTTGAGGACAGCAGTCTGAGTCTTACTCCCGTCTGAAGGCACTAAGGACATGTGCACCCTGCTGACCGCTGCATGATGAGCAGCCTGGACCAGCCAGCTCAGCCAAACCTGAGAGGATGACACATTAACCACCTGCAGTTGTTCCACTCGCCGAGGTCCTGGCACAGAAACACACACTTACTACGTTTTCACAAGCATCAAAGCTCGTGGCTGTACACACACTTTCCAACAGCTTCAACTATGATAGATGGAAAATGTGCTCACTGGTGCGGATCAGAGCAGTGGCAGGTCGGCTCGAGTCATTGCTGTTGGTTTTGAGTTTGACGGAGACGGTGGAGATGTTGTACAGCACACCAGGCTCCAGGTCTCGCAGAACGTGGGTGGACCGCTGCCTGTCCAGGTAGTCTGTTTTAGGGATGCTGTTGCCCAGGGGAGCGTAGGAAATGGTAAACATGCTGACCACACTCTGTGAAGTCTTTGGCTGATCCCAGCGCAGCTCCACTTCGCTCTCCTCCACCCGCAGCACGTGGAGACCAGAAGGAGGCAGCAGATCTAGGAACAGTGGGAACCTTCTGTTTTTAATCCAAAGGATAAACCATTACAGAGCTGTCTTTGCAACGACTGCATGTGATCTGATGGTTACTGACCTTTGTCGCAGTCTTTGCCTGTGAGACCTACTTTGCAGACACAGTTGTAGTTTCCTCTCCTGTCACTCCAGCAACGACCACGGTTTCCACAAGGTTTCAGCACACACGGGTCCTCCACTTGAATCAAGGAAAACAGTGGCTATAATACATATAGTTCATTTTTAAATACCCTGCAAGTCATTAAGCAAGTTACTGTGTGAGCCCCCCGTCTTTTGAATGGCCTCTTCTTGAAGTGAACAGAGACGGTGAGTGTTCAGTTTTAAAATAAATCAGAGGACTGCTTGATGCCTGGTTAACATCTGATGTTTGTTTAATACCAAATCAGATCAAAATAAGACAATATGAAGGATGCACAAAATGAACAAGAAAACAGTGGTTGTTACATTTGGTCTTTGGTGTTATCTCTGACCGTTTTACTGCAGGCAGCATGAGCCCACAATATTTTCTGTTCTGTCTCATGTCACTTCTTTTTACATTTGTTAGCATGCATCCACTCCTGAGTTTCAGTCCTGCAGACGTGCAGAGTGTGAAACAGTCCTGGTTGTTTTAAAGTTGTCAGCTGTTCTTGGGTCAGGTTAAGACTGCAGCTGGATCATTTCAGTCCTCTCCTCATCCTCAGCTTGATCTTTGTAACCTGTGCTGTGTCTGATTCCCTTCTTGAAAAATGAATGAATCACAGAGCCACGCTTTGTACTTGTTGCGGAGGACAAGCTGGATTGTACTTTCTTGTTTTTCATAAAAGATATAAAAAGTTATAAAGTACTGATTTGTCCTATGATGGTTTTCTGAAGATACCTCTTTGTCCAGAGAAGTGGTGCCACCTCTGGACAAGGTTAAAATAAGTACCATATTTTTCACCCTATAAGTTGCAGTTTTTTGCATAATTTGCATGTCCTGCAACTTATACACCGAAGAGACGTATTTATGGATTTCCCCATATTTATAAACCAATTTTTGGCTGAGATGTGACTGTTTTCATTCATTCTGACAGAATATTGAACACTACCATTTTCAGCTGCTAGATGGCACTTGAGTTGTGTGGCATGCCGTTGTGTCATGTAAAAGGTAAAAGTGGCTATTAATGACACAATCAGCTTGCCACAGCCTGCTACCGTTTTCTGCCTGGAGCAACCATCAAATCAGCTGCATTTCGCTGCACCGCCCCGGCGAAATGCAGCTGATTTGATCATTGAAGTGCATTTATTAAGTAAAAGTTCAAGTGAGACACACCTTTACTATAAACTTGAGCAAACAAATAATTGTTTTCAGGTGGTTATCTTGTTAAATTGTTGTTAAAGTCCTCCCGTGCACGCCTCCGTGGCTGCCATTCAGCAGCCAATCGATTGTTGGCACAACACCGGCCCACATTTCCAGGATGTCAGCGGTGACGCATAATAAATGCGACTTGACATATTTGGACTGATGCGATTTATAGGGCGGTGTGACATTTACGGCGGAAAATACAGTATATTTTTTAGACATTTGTTTTCCAAGTAGCATCTGTGAATGTACCTCGGTACTAGGGGTGTAAATCACCAGTTTTATTATATTGATTTGTTTGTATGAAGATACGATATTTCTCGATATCACAAAGTCTGTCACGATACGATTTTGATTCTATTCAATTCACAAGTCTGCGATCGATATATTGCGATATCACATGCCCATCTCATTTACATATAAATAAATTTACAAAAACAATTCAAATATGAGGCAGCACGGTGGCGCAACTGGTAGAGCTGCTGCCTCTCAGCGAGCAGGTCCCTGGTTCAAACCCCGGTCCAGGGGCCTTTCTGGGTGGAGTTTGCATGTTCTCTCCGTGCATGCATGGGTTTTCTCCGGGTACTCCAGTTTCCTCCCACAGACCAAAAACATGCATGTTAGGCTGATCGGTAACTCTAAATTGTCCCTAGGTGTGAGTGAGAGAGTGAATGGTTGTTTGTCTCGTTTGTCTCTATGTGTCCCTGTGATGGACTGGAGACCTGTCCAGGTGTCCCCCGCCTCTTGCACTGTGACTGCTGGACATGGGCACCGGCGACCCCGTGACCCAAAAATGGAAGAAGCGGGTAAAAGATAATGGATGGATGGATTTCAAATATGATTTAACCATTTTATTTCTGTTATTACAGGCACCAGGCATTTCAATTAAAAATGTTTTTTCTTAATTAATGAAAAAATTTAAATAAATGACCTGTTCAGTAAAGTCTCACATTTCTCATGTTTAAGTGCATTTTTTAAACCAGTTAACTTAAACGTGTCCTCCTGATTACCTTTCAGTTATAAAGAAACAAAAATAGATATTGAGCTTACATAACATGGCTATCAATGTCATGTTTCTTCTTCAGGTGAGCAGCCAAATTAATTGTTTCCTGAGTGTTTGAACTCTCACTGGCACCTGTTGCATACGACATGAGTTTTATCTGTTGAGCCGTTCTGTCAGAATCCAAAATGTTTCCACAGAGTTGATTTAAATCCAGCAGGAGAGTGAATTTCATTATCTGCCTCGTCTGTCATGTTGCTGAGGCGGCCACAGAGCGCAGCCGCGCACAGAAATGATGACACAGACGTGCCTTGGAAATTTCAAAATAAAAGCGTATTTTAAAGATGACGATATGAATCGATGTTTTAGTTTTGCCACGATATAATTGAATCATTAATCATTTAATCGATATATCGATTTAAATCGATGTACTGTTACACCCCTACTCTGTACTGTGGTGTTTAACAGCTCTTAAATAACTGTCTGTTCTGTTCGCATCCTCCATTCAAAAACTAAATCTAATCCAGATTCCCTGAATAGTTATTATTATTATGAACGAAAGAGCAAGAGAGAGAAAAAAACATTCAATATATTTTTGTTGACTGATTTTGAAAAGTTCATCAATTTTCTAACAAATTTGTTGACAAAGTTGAGACTCTCTGCTCTTATTTGCTTTTCTAAGACTCAGTTTGTTTATTTAAGGCACCATATTCTCTTTAGTAATAAGAGTTTTATTGAATCTGTGTGTGAATGAACTATAAACATCAACAAAACAGACTTGTAAGACTGAACATTCCCTTACACATTTGGCACTGCTCCCCAAAGAAGCCGTCTTTGCACGTGCACATGTAAAACTGTCTGTAAGCTTGACACACGCCTCCGTTCAGACACGGACTGGAGTCACAACCGTCCTGCTCTGCACACACATATGCACACATGGGTATGACGGGTGGTTCTTCACGGTTGTGGGTTAAAATGTGCAAATGTTGTTTGTGAGAGGCTGAAAAATCAAACGGCACCTTTTTCACAGTTCTGGCCTTTGAAGCCTTGTGGACAGTGACACAAGTAGGAGCCGGGCTGGTCCTCACACGTTCCCTCGTTCATGCAGGGTTCCAGCAGACATTCATCTGAGTCTGAGGACACATCACACACACAAACAACACATGCACATTACTTATTTATTTATTTTTCTTCTTTCAGCTGCTCCCTTCTTCAGGGGTCGCCACAGTGAACTAATTCATATGAAGACTTGGTGATTGTTTTTACGCCGGATGTCCTTCCTGACACAGACCACAGAGCTACCACAGCCCTCTGTGTGGAGCAGAGCGCTGTATCTAGGGTGTCTAGGGGAGCAGATGGTGGGGGTTAAGGGCCTTGCTCAGGGGCCCAGAGTGGGGCAAATGAGGGGTGGAGGCAGGTGTGGGTGTTTCACATTTCACACTCACATTTTGATGTTGTCAGTCCGGGGAGTCGAACCAGCGACCTTCCAATCACAGGCCCACCTTCTCTAACCTCTGCACCACCACTCTCCCATACAAGATGCGTGCATGTGTACTCTAATCTAGGTTCTCTAAATGTTCAGGAGTTTCTTTAAAGGGACAGTGCAGACTGTTTAAGTAGTTTTCTGTAGAGCTCTGAGTAGTCCGTATCGTACCATCTGAAGGCAGCGGTTTGAACAACCTCAGGTTCTGATTGGACGATCGAGCTAACGGGAGAGGAGGGCCAGTTCAAACATGGATTTATGCCAACTTCAAACAATTTCTCAGTATTTTCATAACTTTTTATGCAAAACCTTTTTTTTAATCTTCACACTTGTGTCAGTTGTATTAGATGTTTTCATTTTGCAAAACAAAGCATATATTTACAGTTTTATATTCAGAACAACAGGTGAAATTTAGCTGTTGTGCTAACTCCAGTGCATTTATATTCTTGGAATATTGTAAATAAATGAAATGCATTTACACTGGAGACTGTGTTGGTCTGTAGTGCATTATGGTAATGGTTCTGTCAAACATGTCAACAACAAGTCAACAACATGCCAACAAGCGGTACGACAGTGTCCCCCCTCACTGAGCGATGTAAATAGTGAAGGTTTGTAGTTATTGAAATTAAGATTTATCTGGACTGGACTTTGACGTAACAACCCAGTTTTTGAAAAGGACCTGTCTCACACCTACAGGTAGATGCAGCCTCGCACCAAAATGGAAGTCGGTACTTCACTCATTTTTCAAGTTATCATGCTCACAACGTGCACAGGTGGACTGACAGACGGATGGTATTTCTACTTCCCCCATTCTGCTCTGTGACAGGGGATAAAATAAAACATAAAAATACTAAGTCATCAAAACTAACTGATGCAAAAATTACATCATGCTAAAAATCAATGATATAGAACTTCTTGAAGTAACGTAAAATTGTTGCAAATTTTTACATTATTACTTTTTTAACATGATTACGCTTCTCCATGTCCTGATGCATGCTCAATAATCTAGGTATAAAAATCTAAACAAGTTAAGTCTGGTCCTCTGGACACTCAAAAAACAAAACAAACAAAACGAAACAAAAAAAGCAGGAGCATTTCATCTTTCATCCAAAAGACTTCTTCAGTCTGACTGAAGAAGTCTTTTGGATGAAAGATGAAACGCTTCTACTTTTTTTGTTTTGTTTTTTGAATGTCCAGAGGACCAGGCTTAACTTTTTTGATTACACTTCTCAGTTATGCCTAACATTCTGTTTTCAAGACGTTTCACACAGAAACATTAAACCAAACCACAGTCCTCAGTGTCACTAATGTTTATAAATTAGAATGATTTGGGGTGTTTGTTTTAGCATTTGTGGCTCAGAAAGTATATAATTTTATGCATTAGGTTTCACTATAAATAAAAACAGTTTTGCATATTTTCCTTACATCTAGATGTCCTCTGTAATCTATATTTCCAGCTCCTCACGTGCCACCTGGCTTCAATTACTATTCAGCGTTTAACCCTCCCAGTACACGTAGTTCTTGGTTTTTGTCAGTCCCTGTCAAAGGTTTTGCTCTCCTACACATACTGAGTCTTCATGCTGTCTGATTCAGTTTACATTGTTTTATGACAATTAGAAAGAAGAAATATGTCTCACACATTCATTCAATATATTAGACAGACTATAGAACATCAACATGTGTAGCACATGTGTAATCAAACATGTATACTGGTGATATAAAGACAGACAGCAATGGGCATGCACCAACTGCCTACTTCATGTATTGTATATGACACAGCGCCCCCAGAGGTGAACCAGAGCACTACACCGCCTCACCCAGTGCATTTCTTTCATGTTTGAACAGGCAATGTGTAAATTCTGTGATTTTGACAAATGAAGTGTTGAAATAATTCAGAAACAGTTTTATAGAACAGTCAAGTGGTTAAATGTAATTCTCTTATCATTGTTAGTATTTTACTTGTCATGATGACAGGTGCGACACTGCCTCCCCTGACTGCGCGTCACTGGTGCTCCGTGAGTATGGGATTGGGGGCCCCTTGTTACGGGCTGTTCAGTCCCAATACAAGCGGTGCAAGAGTTTTGGTTCGCATTTCCAGTAGTAAGTCGGACCCCTTCAGGGTGGGAGTTGGACTCCACCAGGGCTGCACGTTGTCACCGATTCTGTTCATAACTATTATGGACAGAATTTCTTGGTGCAGCCAGCTGGTGGAGGGTTTTGGTTCGGTGGTTTCAGGATTCCATTTCTGCTTTTTGCAGATGATGTGGTCCTGTTGGCATCATCGTGCCGTGATCTTCAGCTCTCACTGGAGCGGTTCGCAGCCGAAGTGTGAAGCAGCTGGGATGAGAATCAGCACCTCCAAATCTGAGGCCATGGTCCTCAGTCGGAAAAGAGTGGATAGCTCTTTTCGGTCGAAGGTGAGGTTCTGCCTCAAGTGGAGGAGTTCAAGTGTCTCAGCGTTTTGTTCACAAGTGAGGGAAAAATGGAGCTGAGACTGACAGATGGATTGGTGCAGCATCTGTAGTATTGCGGACTCTGTACCGGTCCCTTGTGGTGAAGAGGAAGTTGAGTTGTAAGGCAAAGCTCTCAGTTTACTGGTCAGTCTATGTTCCTACCCTCACCTATGGTCATGAGCTCTGGGCAGTGACTGAAAGAATGAGATCATGGATACAGGCATTTGAAATGAGTTTCCTCTGCAGGGTAGCTGGACTCTCTCTTAGAGATAGAGTGAGAAGTTCAGTTATCAGGAGAGACTCGGAGTAGAACCACTGCTCCTCCACATAGAGAGGAGCCAGTTGAGGTGGTTCAGACATGTCCGACTGGGAGGAAACCCCGGGGAAGACCCAGGACACGATAGACAGACTACGTCTCTTGGTTGGTCTGGGAACACCTTGGGGTCCTCCCAGAAGAGCTGGAAGAGGTGGCTGTGGAGAGAGAAGTCTGGGCCTCCCTGCTCAAGCTGCTGCCCGGAGAACCTACTTTAGAACAAGTGAAAGATGATGGATGGATGAATGGATGGATGAATGGATGGATGAACGCATGGATGAATGGATGGATGAATGCATGGACTTTTGTTAAAATACATAACTGATAAAAGCTAGTCTTGACTACAGAGGCTAAATGTTCATCAAACTTCAAATCCTTGTCAAAAGTCACCCCAGGTTTTTAACTTTGGGTCTAAACTTGGATGTCAGAGTGGAAAATAATGGATGGATGGAAGTTGTTTCAAGGTGACAAAGATTCTTCATGGAAATGGTTGCTCAGACTAAAGGTTACCTTTAGTCACCAGTGAATATATTTTTGGCTGCTTTATATTGTAGGTACTGGTAGTGTCTGCAAAGATCCCCACTGTAAAATGTCTAAACCTTTAAAGCATTTGCTTAAACTTACCTATCTGACAGCGATTCCCACTGAAGCCCTCCTTGCAAACACACTGAAAAGATCCAATCTTATTTTGACAAGAACCGCCGTTTAGACAAGGCTGTGATAAGCACTTGTTGATCTCTGTCAAAAAGAAAGTTTTCATAAATAAGTATTTGTTCTTTTCATATGTTTTTGAGGATGCATGTGTCGATGTGCACTACAGACCCTCACAAACGGGCGGCTGGCTCCAGTCTCCCTGAATGTCACAGGTGCTCTTAGTGGCTCTGGGCACAGACGTGAAGCCGGAGTGACAAATGTACACAGCAACGGAGCCTGGTGTTGTTGAGGAAAACTGGACTTCAGCATGCTTGACATGCGGGGGTAGCCCACAGCCCAGCTCTGGAACGAACATAAACATGCTGATCATGCCAGCAAGGCTGCATGGTAACAGCAGCTTAAAAACAGCAGGGCCTGAAAAGAGCTCATCAGACTGAAGGCGACTGAGGTCATTTCCATCAAGACTGTGTTTGCTCTACTAAAAATACCTCCAGCATGCTGTTAGAGTGTATAAACATGAATCACCAGGTCTATTCAGGCCTTACTTTATTTAGCTGATGTAGCTATATCTGTAAATTTGGGGCCTCCGGGTGCAGCAACATTGCTAAGATTATCTTTAGGTGGAAAACTAGTATCTGTGCACTCAGCTCAGGATATTCCCTGTTTCTTCTAATCTGTCAGAGGCAACACTGCAAATGTCAACATCATCAGAGGTCAAGACATTGCTGCATGGTGACATATGGTCTGCTTACCTGCAGATGTTTGCACTGAGCTCCTGCTTATCTGACAGTGTCTGCCGCTGTACGCCTCAGTGCATTCACATTTATATTTTCCCAAGTAGTGAAAACATGTCCCGCCATTTAGACAAGGACCGGAGGAGCAAGGGTCTGGTTTTCCTGAAAAAAAAAAACAAAAAAAAAAACATACAGGAATGAATTTTCTTTTGCAGTACTTAAATAAATAAAAATAAAATTGAAAAATAACTTCTTGTCTACTGCAAATTAAGCGCTAAAGAGTTACTTTACTTTTAAATATAAAGGCTTTCCTTGATGATTATTCCTCAATGAAATATATATATA